CCACTCACCTTGAAAGGGTAAGATGGTACTCAATACTTTAGACATCTACAGTAGATATCTACAGTAGATAAACTCGATTTTTTTATGTGTCTCTCACGCAGCGAGTCCGCCAGGTCTCATCGTGATTGTGGACATGCGGTCCATGAGTACTTACTGAGAATTTCCTTCGGCCAGATCCGAAAACTCACACAAAGCATGTCTCCGTCTCCAGAGCGATGATCCCTTGTCGGGAATAAAAGGCTTACCTAAGACGGGAAGAATCTTCGGGGCTTTCCAAAAGCTTGTTTTTTCTTTATGGCGAGACCCAGACAGTCGGTCGTCTCGTCCATAAAAATCCCTCGTATCCTGGATATGGATGGAGCTGGGGGCGTCTGACATGTGTCTGTCAGACCATGCAGGGCTGATGGAACGATGCATCACCAAATCTGGATATGGAGAGCTGTCTGTCAATGTCAGATTTTCGAAACTTTCAAGCTAGGTATGCGAGCGTGTTTGGATGTTCGTTCAGACCTCGCCACTGCTAGGTATCTGATAAGTCACAGTAGCAGACTGGTGTTGACTGGTCACTGCCCAGGTGAGGTCTAGTATGAATAGTCAGGACTCAGGCTTCAAAAGACCTCCACCACATGCAATCGAAAGAGATTTCCGATGCTGTTGTTGTGCTTTAGGGCTGCTGCTAGAAATTAGCATCGGTCTTACTAGATTCTGTCCTACTGCGTACTCATCAGTCAGAGGAGTGGCCAAGAGAATGACCCATCCCGATTCCCCGATTCCCCGGCATGCTATCCAGCGCCCCGGACTGCCGGGCTACCCGGGATTCCGATAAGAAGTTCGTACCTATCAAACAGGAGCTGATCATCTATCACTTCTTACCAGATAAGTGATAGACTGGATTCTAGTCTAAAGTCTATTTTTCTGTTTGGTGTTATAAAACTTTGAAAGAGCTTAAGGTTGTGATGACATCGACCACCCTTATCCCTACCTAGGTACCTAGCCTACCGTATTCGGTTCATTGTTATCCGCGTTCCATGACGTCACTCTGTAGTACATCACCACGGCCGTGGGTGCAACTATCGGAACAGGTGGATGGAAATGAGCGATTTCCGACTTCAACCTCTACCTCTACCTGAACAAACCTGTGCCTGTTACCCGGGCAAATGATCCACAGAGTCAGCCTCAGCTTTCGACTAATCATCGTCGTGTGCTTGCTCTCCTTATCACTGTCACGAGCAGCAGCAGGATATCAATACGAGCAGCACCGAGTCCCACACATAGCCACCACCACCACCACCAACATGGCGTCCTCTAGTCTCAATCGTGAGTCTCTCACTCACCTGAGCTCACCTAGCCGACATCCATCTACCCTACCTATCCCTCCCTCCCTCCACCCATACCACCTCATTTCAATAAGCTAACCTCTGACCACCCACCTCCCCACCCATGCCCCTAGTCTTCAAGCAACCCCTCAAGTTCTTCTCGCAGCACCCCCCCACGGGCTTCTACCGGGACGGGTACTGCCGGACCTCGCCGCAGGACCCGGGCAACCACGCGGTGGCGGGCATCGTGACGGACGAGTTCCTCGACTTCTCGGCCTCGCGCGGCAACGACCTGCGCCAGGTCGGCCTCCGGGGCGGCTGCAAGTGGTGCCTGTGCACCGCCCGCTGGCTCGAGGCCTACGATGCCTACCGCTCCGGCCGCGTCGGCCCCCTCGGCGTGCCTAGGGTCGACCTCGACGCCACCGAGGACAGCGCCCTCGGCATGGTGGACTTGGATACCTTTAGGCGCTTTGCGGCGCCGAGGGAAGCAGGACAGCAGCAGGGCCAGGGCCAGGGCCAGGGGGGCGCGGGGACGAATGGGGCTTGATCGGGGAGGAAAGCTGGAAGGGTGAGGTGAACAGTGGATGGTAGAGACGGGGTTTAAGGAGCGCTTCGGGAAGTAGCCATTTCAGTGGCTCGTTCCTTCAACACGGCGTTTCGGTAAGATGTGGGTTCTCGGGCTCGGTCCGGAAGAGTATGCGGGCAAGCTATATGTATTATTAACACGGAGCGTCGACAGGCAGATGCGCAACAATCGGTCGTTCAGCTAACAATTAGGGGGTTAACTACAGCAATGCCTCGAGCTTCGAGAATTGCCTACACTGTCCAATAAGGAACGTCCCGGGAATAAATCAGATATGCTCGGCGGCACCCCCCAGTAGGGCTTATGAAAAGGATTCAATGTTGTCCAAAGTAAAGAACCAATTCCCTGTAATGCTCGGAGTGACTAGGTATTATTCTCCGTGAGGGCTGTGGCGAGTACATGATCTGATCCTTAGATGTAAGTTCCTGATCCTCCCACCTGGCACGCCAGGCAGGATGGTATCCATGTATCATGATCCTCTTCGAGGAGCTTGTTTCATGTGTAGGCATGTATGAAGATGGCCGGCCTCTTATGGCTATGTCGAATTGAAGTGATAACATCATTCCAATTATATCTCTCAAAATCTCGGGTGAAGCATTAGGCGTTATTGTCCGAAGTGGTGTGTGTCCATGTCGACGACGGCCACCATCCAGCTCCGTGGTCTAGGCTCGTGGTCATATACTTAACGCCCGCCCAGTACAACACTCGTAGACAATCAGCTGTGAATGAATTTCTTCCCAGACGTGTAAGTTACAGCAGGGATCCTTTCGCGCACCCTGCCCACCACCATTCACAGCCTTGGAACTCCCGATGGGGTTCGGGATGTGACTCTGAACGAGTATTGTAGCCAAGTCCTGATGCGGCTTCTCTTGCGGATTTGAAGGTATATGAAACCTAATCCGTACAATCGCTGGTAGGTAGGCCTTGACATGATTCGACTGCTTATGTTGAGGAGGAGCGTAAGCAATAACCTGGGTGCGGACTCGTATCAGGTAGTTGAGTTAGGAGAGCTGGCCCTTTGCTGTTCATCATCTGAAGACTCTCCCTTCCCGCAGGACTTCACTTCATGCACTGCTCTGGACTGGGACGTAGAGACTGATTAAAGAATTTGTAAATGATTAGCAACGTATCTTTCGAACGAAGTGAACGTTTTACGATGACGCTCGGGGCTTCGATGACGGGCATCTGCGGTTAGCAACAAGAAGGTGAAAAATTGACTGTTTCTTGCCGATGAGCCAGCTCTCTGTATGTCGTGATCGAAGTTGTACCTAATGGCGGTAGGATCCAACTTCCATTTCATCCTCGGCCATATCTTCATTATATCTGCCCTTTCTCCTCTTGCCAAGCATTTGGCGAGGCCGCACTGATCCCGTGCTGGAAGAATGCTTCAGGAAATATCTCAGTGCCGGGATCGGGGGGTTGTCAATCCAGAGAGCCAGAATTCGGGAGCGATACCGTCCAAACAGCGCCTCTCCTCGACGGCACATCGAACGGATAGTGAGAACTCCACTCCTTCGTGGTCACCCATTTTTACGGCTGGATGCAAGTCCATGCTTCTTGACCACCTCCTTCTGCGAGCACGTCCATGGCGAGACGATCATGCCGCAAGGGGGCAACAACAGCCGCTTTGATTGGTTTATCAAATGAACTAGTTCGTTCGTTCACAAGTACCGAGATCCGATCTGCGCTTCCAACCGTGTGGATGGTAACAACTGGATACCACATAACAAGATGGGCATTTCGTGGTTCGGACGGCTAAATTGATTGAAGAGGAGGGGTTTAACTACCAGAGAGCTACAGGGATCGATGTCACATCACGTTCAACGCGGGGAGTATTTACGTTTTGTCACAAATGATAGCTGACGGAGGTGATAGACACGTCCCATATCTCTGAAGTGATCATAAATGAGGACAATCGATATCAGTAGTCAGGATCAGAGTAACATCTTCTGACCGATGACGCATCGTGTAGGTCACTCGCCACAGAGTGCGTAGGTAGGTGTGAGGGTATTGTGTTAGCACATACCTAGGAAATGCGCTGTCAATAACATCAGGCTCGAATGTTCACGCCCTACCTTTATCGATTCGGGACATTACATAGAACAACAACAACAACAACATCAACAAGAACAATATCATCCAGCTGGCGCGTCTCAGCAGCACAAGAGGCCACATACAAGTGAGCCGATAATGGACACGCGTCAATCCTCGGCAGTTGGAGTAGAGCAGGTTTGACCGAGAACAGAAAAGAAAAGCAGTCTGCAGCGATAAAATTTCGAAGCGTGGCAGCGTGGTGTGTGAGTGGTGAGACAGAAGAAGCATGACCCTTTCCCGTGCATGATGCAGGTCCCCAGAGTTCGAAGCGCCAGACTGCCAGAGAGCAGGCGAGTGAAACGGCAGAATTGTCCATAGGTGGGGGTTCAATGATAATGTGCATGTATCAACGAGCGAACACGCTTGGCTCTTTGATTGATAAGGTCTGTCGTGGTCGATTGACGTGGCACTGAAGAGGGATCATCGTGAGAGGTTTAATTTTCGCCAGTAGTTAGTCAAGGGCTACGGCAGCGTGTCGAACGGCACTTGGCGATGACAAAGCTTTTGGACTGCAAGGTCCAGGAAGGAGTCCCTGCCAGATGATGAGCACAGACGCCGGGTGCGCCATAGTAAGTAGCGCCGGGTAATGCTCGTGACAGTATCGGACCACAAGGCATCCCGGGATTATTCAAGATGCTTTCTATGTACGGTTAGGATTTCGAGTTTGTGACTTCGTGGTGGCATCAAGCGCAGGTTTGTTTGGTTGGAAAACGAACAAGCCAGCTAGGTGACCAAGGCGCCCTCTAGACCTGCGGGCATTATTAAAATCAGAAATGTGTGGCTTGGCGTGGAATCAGAAAGAGAGAGAGCGCTTAAGGTACCACCAACGAAGACGGCGCCTAACGCATCGAAATTCTGTATTTCAGACGTAATGATGTGCAAAAACAGGCAGGCACACAAAGGGGCCATCATTCTGATCTTGGGCGCTGGCCAAAATCGAGGGGAAGAGCAAAAAAATCAGCGTGCAGAGAACCCCGACGGAGGCAAAAACCGCAAAAAGAAAGAGCTGCGGTGAGTGCGGATCGAACGCACGACCTTCAGATATACCGCGAAGAAGATCTTCGTGATGTTTGATGAAGTTTGGCTTCAGTCTGACGCTCTCCCAACTGAGCTATCCCCGCTCTTTTTTTAGAAATTCTCCCAAGACAAGGGCGAATCGTATTTGTTGAAATTTCGGCCGCTTAGAATTTACTATATTGCGTGGAGCAGACATGGGTATGACTGGTGGGTAATGGCGGCAATACGCCGGTGGGAGGATAAGGCGGTCGATCCACTGGGAGATACGTGGCGGGCTGGCGGGGTGGACAAAAGGAGGTGGATGGTGAGCCACAGAGACTCCCAGACTCCTCATCAGAGCTCTGAACTATTAGGTCCAGATTGAACAGGCCTTGCGAATGCTGATAAATATTTGTGCAGACTCAAACGTAGGTACGTCAACGTTACTTAGATATCCGTAATGTATACGGATGATGTTTCAAGCCGCGGCCATCTACTGTATCTCGGGAACAGGACTCGATACAGATCTACAGGTCGACATCTGAAATCTTGTGCCCAGGCCGTATCAACACGATCCATGAAGTTCTTGTTCGACGGGCAAGCACTATCAGGCAACGCTGATGTATTGATTGTGTGAAACCCAGGTACATCGCTTCAGTGGCGGTTGGCCTGTATATATGAAAGCGCCTGAAGACTTCCAAGGTTATTAGTTCCAATGGCTTTAGGTTCGGCGTGAAATAGGGGTAAAATCCGAGCACACATAAGGTACGATGCCGCCAAAGGCCGGCAGACATTCGTTAATATTTGATGTTGAGAGGATGGAGACCATTTCAACAGTAACGAGAGTCAACTGATCATGTCCTATCTAGGGGCAGCTTTTCTCTTGTCGAGGAAGCAACTGCTTTTTCTCTTGCCCCTCTTCTTTTTCTGAAGGTACCTTCTATTTTCTAGGTTTTCTTCAAAAGGTTGCGACTCTACTTCGATACCTAGGTAGTTACAACACGAGCTCTGAGGATGCATGACGATTCACGGGACCAATGGAATCCAATGGGCGGACACACCCCAACTCAATCCAACAACCCATTTGTTCCCTGTTTGAATCCATTAGAATATTAGGTAAGACTTGAACTTGACCTCATTCATGATAACCCAAAATGCTGTGATGGATATCTCTTCGGTTTGGGTTTGGTGTTGCAGATTCATGTCGTGTATTGATACATCCTGCCATCCTAGACCTGATCATCCTCCCCCACATCCGAAGTTTCGGAAGTTCTGTCTCCATTCGGTTTCTGTCCGCATTGACAGTATTGAACAGCTATGAATCTGATTTATTGGGTTCAATGTTGTTAGGCAGGGTACGAAGTATTGGGCAGGTTGGGGGGGAAAAGGGGAATCTACTTCGTACCTAGGTAGACACTTGGGCAGTCGCTAATAAGCACACTAAATGATCCATGGATTGGACTGAGAGCAGCAACCGCGTCTGCTCCAAGCGACCAATCCATGAACCGATTGACGAGCAAAAAGTCAACAATAAGAACATTGGAACAGATCCATGGATGCACTTGGCAGGAGATGATTTGGCAGGCACTCTTAGTTTGTCAGATTCCATTCAGTGATTAAACATGTTCACCGCCCGCCTTCCTCCTTCATATGGAATTCGTAGGTACCAATTCAGGGGTCGCGACACACTGTACGTAAGTAGCTACAGACTACTACAGTAGGCCGTAGCCGGGCTGCCCACCCTGCCAGCTTGCCCCCTGCAACCGTGCCACTTGCTTGCTCTCCACCTGGGTATGGGCTGGGCATGGGCATCCATGGATCTTGTCTGGGGTCCCAACTCCGTATCTCTCTGCCTTCAGACTGTCAGATCACAAAAACATCCAATTACCCTGGCACACGCACGCAACTCCTTTTTCACCAGTCGCCAAGCGAACGCTTCATTCTGATTCTCATTCTGATTCTGCTACTGCTACTGTTTCTAATTCTATCTAATTCTTATTCCGACTCTGATTGAATTTTTAATTCCATGACTCAAACATCTGATCTCGTTGTGTACCCCGTCTTGTCTTGTCTTGTCTGGCATTGTCTTGTTTCGCCCTGCCTGGCCCGTCGCCCGTCGCCCGTCACCACGTTGATCGCCCGGCATTCCTGCTGACGCCGCGAGCTGCCGTCCAACCCAGACCGTCCTACCCTGATTCGACCAATCGAACCATAATCTGCCGCTATGCATTCCTCAGAGAACGGTCGTAGGAGTAATCAAAGACGTCGTCCCGATCTCAACATCAATACCTCCATGACCAACAACAAAGCCCTTCGCGATGCCCTTCCCTCGACGCCTCCCGCTCGAAAACCCCCCGTGCCCTCCAAAGGAAAACCTCCTCTTTCCTCGAGCCGCGCCCTCAAGTTGCCTACCACTCAATCCACCCCCAATTCCATTCGAGACTCGGTAGAATCCTTCCTCGAGAATGATTCTCCCGTCGACAATAATAAGGAGAACGAACCTCAACTCCATCGCATCGGCAGGAACACTCGGGACTCGCATGATCTCTCCTTGCCCACCCGACAGTTCACCCGTGATTCTCTAGTGACCAACATGCTGAGTTCCCTAGACCAGTTCTCTCTCGGTCAGATATATACACCTACATCCGGCACCGTCGACGACGACATCTACGGTGTGCCCCGTGGAGATAGGGGCAGGGGTGACGAGTTTTCCAAGTCTATGACCAGTGCCTCCCGCCCAGGTCGTATGTACAGCTCCGGTCCCAGCCACGGCTACAGTTACAGCTCCGACTTTGAAGGGGGCGACGACGCAGCCAGCAGGATATCGAGTCAATTTTCGAGAGGTCGTCGCAGCAACAGCAGTTCTGGCTTTCAATCAAGCCTGGGGAGGATCAACAGCTTGCGCGAACGAAGTCATCCTGGCGGGACACCGGCCATGAGGCCGCTGCATTCAAGAGGGGGTAAAACGAGTAAGAGCAGTAGCACCAACAGCATCGATGCGGGAGGGTATGCGCAAGTCCTGACGACGCAACGGTGGGCGCATGGGATTGGTGGCAGATCTTCAAGCTTTGATTACGGACAGAGACCCTCGCTAAATGAGGCGAATGGTGCGTGGAAATCGGACTTCTCAAATACCTTTCTCGTGGATGATTACGAGGCCGCACCGACACCTACAGTACACGGTGGCCCACGCCGACCAAACATGCCAAACGTGCCTCCCACCCAGCAGCAATCCGCACCACCTCCACCTCCACCCGAGCCCGAGGCAAAGACGCCCGAGCGCAAGAAGAACACTAGATCGAGAAGTGGTACAACGCGAACGACCCAGTCCAAGCACTCAACCTCCCGCGAAGCCCCTCCACTTCTTCCCCCCGACCTCGACTCGGCCCCGGCGCCACACGTAGGTTACGAGAAGACCAAGGAGTCGCAACGAGCGGCCTCGACCCCGACCACGCAAGCAAAAGAGAAGCCGGGCTTCTTCAGCCGGTTGTTTGGCTCCTCGAAAAACACTGCCACCATCAATTCCAACCCTCCCTCTGCCGCGTCTACACCTATCGACTCCGTCGAGCTGCCTGCCAGCAGATCGCACCATATCGCTACCCAGATGAAAGCACAGTCGGCACCACCGTCACGGGACTCTCAGCAACCTAGCCAGCCACCCCACGTCATACAGAAAAAGTCGTCATTCTTCAGAAGGAGGAAGAAGTCGGTAGCCGAGCCACCTGTCCCTACCCCGCCGCTTCCTCCATCGATCGACATGAGTAGAATGAAGGACGAGAGCGTACCGAAGCCCGAACCGAGTCCCGTCAGCAGCCTACGCCAGGTTATGAACCCGTACCTCAAGAATAGCAACCCGTCTACACCTAGCGGGCTTCTCCCTGCGCGTCGTGAAGCTCCAGCGAGAGCATTCGAGTACGATTCTCGAGACGAAAAGAGCAGCCCACGCGTCCGTGGCTTCTCGCCCGAGTACGAACCTAACCCTAGTGCCACGATTCGCACTGTCAAATCCACCTCGGCGTTGAAGAGTCGGGAGTCACTAGGTTCGTCTGCGAGGCGTCGAGCTCAAGTTGACAGTCCCATGCGCAATCCACCTGAGCCACCAGCCAACGACGCTGCGGCCACTCCCGATACAACATTTTTCCACGATAGTAGCGACGAGGGTGAGAAGCCTCGGAGGACCAGGAGAGTAACGGAGCGCGGGCCAAACACCCAGTCACGTTCGGCCCATCAGCCTTCTGCAGGTCGGGAACATGTCCTCGATCAGGACATGGGCTCAAAATCCGAACTGTCACCTGGCTTGCCCTTGCAGAAGAATGTGAGCACCGACGACGAGCAAACGCAGAGAAGCCTACAGCTACCTATCGAAGGCCGCAAGGGCTCCGTCAGGGGAACCGCGTCTGCCCCGGCGCTCCAGCAATCGACTAGCAGCCTCCCAAGTGTGAAAATTGATAGTGCCGAGGCTAGCCCCCTCGTGAACACCGGCTCACCTCTCGACGAGCCTGAAGTGTCAGTAGGAGAACCTACGGAGGATGACCGTCAAAAGGCGAAGCGCATATACGACGGCAATGAAGATTTTATTCAAAAAGAAAAGGCGGCCGCGTGGATGGGCGAGGAAGGTACAGTACGGCAGCGAACCCTACAGGCCTACATGGATCTGTACGACTTCGAAAATCAGAGTGTCCTGGGTGGTCTGAGGCAGATCTGCAACCGACTAGTCTTTCGAGCTGAGACCCAGCAGGTCGATCGTATACTAGTTGCATTCTCCAAGCGGTGGTGCGACCGCAACCCAAATCACGGTTTCAAAACTACAGGTAAGGTGCTCCACGTGCGTGCCCGGATCGTTCGACGCTGACCTGGCCCAGATGTGATACATACGATGTGTTACTCTATTATGCTTTTGAATACCGATCTCCACCTGGCCGACATTGAACAGAAGATGACCCGAAGCCAGTTCGTCAAGAATACCATGACTACGATCAAGCAAGCCGTCGCCGATTCTGCCCCCGAAGCATTTGATCGCGCGAGTATCTTGCCGGGCAGGAATGCACTGCTGAGCCCGACCGACTCGGAGGCACGAATGTCGGCTGAGGCAGAAGCCGAGCGACCGAGTTGGCGGTCTTCTTTC